TTTGATCTGTAGTTTAAATGCAATCTTCTATACATTGGATACCTCCCCCCACACCTCCACCTCGTTGCAGCTTAAATCCTCACTGTAACTTTTAAGAGGGTGGAAAATCCTATTCTGGTAATTGCAAGGTGGGGAGATGATTAGATTCTGAGGACCACGCCTAGTGAATGGATTAAAAAAGGTGGTCATGGACATGGTTCTGAGGGCTGTAAAAAGACAGTGCAGGAGGGGCTATCTCCCTCTCTGCTCTGCCATTTCTGCCATGTGAGACTGTGGGTTTCTGTTGCCACCACAAAGACCCTCACCAGACATGTTCCCTGGACCTTGCACTTCCCAACATTAAATTTTGTTTTCTTTATAAATTACCTAATTCAAGGTATTTTGTTATAAGCAACAGAAATGGACTGATACACAATCTCAATTATAATCACAACTTTTTTTGTAGAAATTGATAAGCTTATTCCAAAATGTACGTAAAAGTACAAATGACCTGAAATAACTAGAGTCGTGCTTTACAAAGAATAAAAAGTAGGTGTATTTTCTCCACCTGATTTTAAAACATCTGGTAAAACTACAGTGATCAAGTTGCTTTGGTATTAGTGAAAAGGTAGACAAATAAATCAATGGAATAAGGTAGAAAGTTCAGTAATAGGTCCACTCATTTGTCAATTGATTTCTGATGTAGAAACCAATGCAATTCAATGCATGAAAAGAGAATATTTTTAATAAAGTGTGCTGGATTAATTGGATATCCTTATGTAAAAACAACAAATGATGACCTCAGACTAAATACAAATATTAACTCAAAATGGGGCATGACCTGTATATAAAACATAAAACAACATCCTCATAGTAAATATAGGAAAAAATCTTTGTGATCCTGTTATAGTTAAAGGTTTCATAGAACACAAAAAATTCAAACCATAACAACGAAAAAGTTTAAACTTTATCAACATAATGGGCTTTCACATTTTGAAAGACATGATTAAGAAAATAAAAAGGCAAGTCAGAATATGGAAAAAACACTTGCAAACATCTATCAGACAAAAAAGTATATGCAGGATATAAAAAGAATTCTTAAAAGTCTATAATAGAAGACAAACAGCCCAATTTTTTAAAATAGGCAAAAGATTTGAAAAGACACCTCACAAATGGAAATGCATTGATGGCCAATAACCACCTGAAAAACATGCTTGATATCATCAGTCATGAAAGAAATTCAAACTAAAGCCACCATGTAATACTACTACACAACTACTTAGAATAACTAGAATTAAAAAGACCAACCATATCAAGAGTTAGCAAGGATGTAGAACAACTGGAACTCCCATATACTGCTGGAGGGTATATAAAATGGTTAATGCCACTTTGGAGATTAGTCTGACAGTTTTTTGTTTGTTTTGTTTTTTAAAAGTTAAGCGTACACCTACAAAATAACCCAGACATTCCACTTCTGATTATTTAAACAAGACTAACAAAAATAAATGACCACACAAAGATCTATACATAAATGTTTACAGCAGCTTTACATGTAGTGGCCAAAATCTGAAAGCAGCCCGAATGCTCACTAAGGGAGAATACAAGAACAAATTTTGATTTATCCAAACATTGAAATCGTACTCAGCAATAAAAAAGAAACAAAATAATAATACATACAAAAGCATGGATAAATCTTAAAGTCATTATGCTGAGTGAAAAAAGCCAAGCTGAAAAGACTACATTCAGTATGATTTGTAAAAGTCCTAGAAAAGGTAAATAAGCTATAGTGATAAAAAGAAAATTACTGATTGTCTGCGGTTAGGGTGGAAAAAGGAATGAAATATAAGAGGTCATAAGGAAATTTTTGGGTGAGATGGCAATGTTTATTTTCTTGATTATAATGATAGTTTCACAGGTATATACATAAGTCACGACGAATCAAATGGTACACTTTTAACATTTGCAGTTTACTATAATTCAATCATACCTAAGTAAATTGAAAACAAAAATTTTGAAGGGCCATGAACTAAATGCATCTAGACTGGGAAAGGTGGATAAATGGAAAAGCTACCTCCATCCTATTACATAGTTCTATAAAAAAAAAAAAACTATGTCTCTTACAATACAAATTTTAAGCATGTTCCTTGGAAAAAATATGCAGTAAAAAATACATGGATATTAAAAAGCAATAATTAACTCTTAATAAATTATTTCAGATGGCTATTATTATTTTAAAGTAAGATTTTTTCAAGCCTTGCAGAATTATCAAAATAGCATAGCTTTTATAAATTATTACTCATTGATTTCTCCACAGACAGTTGGATTCAAAAATCTTTTCTGAGGAGTTTGGAGAGATGCAAAATTTCCATCTACAAGCTCTCCCCTTTGAATTGCCATTATATTACACTAATTGCTTTAATGAAATAAATAATCTTCCCAAAGACAGTTTTTTGTTAAAAGTATTAAAGACTTGCAATAATCTGCTTTGATTCTTAAAAAAAATATATATTAAAGATTGAAATAACAATGCTTTGAAAAATTTAGTCACAATGGCTACGACTTCCTATTTAGTAAAGAAATTATCCTGTTTAAAAAACCCCAAAAATAATTTTATTGATAATAAATACAGGCAATACAGTTCTCCTAATTTAGCTTTTCCTCACATCTTTGAAGCATATTATCAAGCTGGAAAAGGCCAACCAAGGCTGTTGATTAGTGTTGGTTTGACGTTTTGTGCCTGTGTGAAAGTATTCATCTACTCAGATCATGGTCCAATTATTAAAGTCTGTACCCAGATGCTACCCTCAGTCTAGAGGGTAATTAATCTAATCTCTATAAGGTACTTTGTAAACTAGCAGTAGCCCAGGAAAGAAGTCCTTCATTTACAAGACAAAAGAATCAGCTGGGACTTTTGACTGATAATTGGGTCACAGTTAGTCACCCATATTAAGAATGTACATAAATATTTGAAATATCAATATATAGTTACAGAATTATCAAGACAAAAGAATCAGCTGGGACTTTTGACTGATAATTGGGTCACAGTTAGTCACCCATATCAAGAATGTACAAAAATATTTGAAATATCAATATATAGTTACAGAATTATAAAAAAAAATTACAATAATGAAGAAAACTACACATTCATGTATAATTAAACACAACATACAACCACATATATATATATTATGCATGTATATATAAAAGTTCATGCCAAAATCTTGAGCATTTTATATAGATCAGTTCAATTATTTTTTTATAAATCCTTATAAGGGAGGTTCTATTATATTTCCCAATTTGAAAAATGAGGAATTGAAACTTACATAAAGTAATTACACATAGAAAGGTGAATATTAAGTGAGTTGCTAAGACTGAAAATCATATTTTTCTCCTTCCAGATTCAATACTTATAATCACTCTGCTATGCTGAAATTATATAATCCAAATTATTTTATTAAGTAAAAATAAATACTTCCCCTATATAATTGATCAAAGATAGTAAAAGATAAACCTGATATGAAAGATTCTGCATTCATTCACACTTTAAAATCTAATTACACTTCATAGTATATAAATATTCTATTTAAAACTTCGTTGGGTTTCATGAAACTCCAAGATGCAGAGCAGCTTAATAAACTTATTTTTCACTACTCACTGTCTTATTCACTTTGGATTTCATTAAAGAATCTTTTAAAAATTATTTTTCTTCATATTTTAATGGTTTTTCCAAGTAAAGAGCTGAAGTTACTCCATGATTTAGAATGCGATATGGGATATTATAAAGTTAAAAATCAATTTAAAAAGAGAAATTATACTGATATTGTTCTCCCACATCACTCATTTTTGTTTGAGGATAGTAAATTTGTGTAGGTTACAAAAATAAATTACCCTGTAAAACTGATGTTTATGAAAATAGTTTTAAAATAAGCCTTTGCAAGACTAGAAATTA